GTCGAATATTCTTCACAAAATACCGAGTGACTATTAATGTTGGTGATTTTTTTGTCATGTTGGCAACATATTTAAAAATTTATGAAGGCATACTTGCTGTCAAATTTAAATGATGAGCACCAATTCAGTAGCCTATCTTCTCATTGGTACGTTTTTAGGCGCGTTTGTGTCAAAATTGACAACTGTGAACTGGCATGCTAACATTGCTGCCAATAATTCGAAATCCAATTAATAGTCACCTGTTAATAGGTTAAGAAACGTTTTTCAGAGTGAGATTTTGTTATGTTAAATAATTTAATTTATAATCGTTTTCCGGGTTGGGACCGTGTTAATTGAGTTTTTGGACGTTTCGCACACTTTCGTAAGTGACATCTTCAGGAGCAGGGTTGAGAAATTACGAAGAAGACAAGAGCACGTTAACTCAGTGTGTCAACCAGACCAAAGGCGAAGAAACTCTTCAGAAGTCAAGCCTAGATAAGACGAGATTGAGTAGTTTCATCCGCGAACATCTGTGTTTCTTTCAAATAAGTTCTGATGTCGCCTCTCTTGCAATTTCGTCGGTGTAATTCTGAAAATGAATAGAACTGCTTCATGAAATAATTTACAACACAACCAAACCAAACAATCGGAGTGATTAATTTTTTCACCATTTTTAGAATTTCACTCTGCTGATTGCGTGCTCCTCATTTGATGAATGACTTCATGTTTTCTGGACGTTTCATAGAACATAGAAAAGTAGGTCTTCCATTTCCGTCTGCCTATCGTCTGTTAGAAATTTTATCAGAACGTGAACTCCAAAATTGTGGATTGTTTATTGCGAAGTTTTACGTGTATTTTAAAAAATAAAACGCTAACCAAAATTTAAAATCTACGAAAGAAATTTATTTTTTATAAAATTTCTCATCAAGGAAATCTATATGAATAGAAAAACCGATCCAACCTCGTCACTTCTACTTTTTTGCTTACTTCAACTGACTAATTTTCTTGTAATAATAAAAATATTTCCAGATAACAGCATCCTTGAAACCCTTAAGCTCGTAAGGCTGAGTAGATTCTTCTTGTTCATATTTATCCGTCTCTGTCTTTTCAGCTATTGGTACCATAGATGGAGGTGGTGACGCAAGCTCAAGCGCTCGTTGGTTCTTACGAAATTAAATTACCGATGATTTCACTGGATTTTCTGTCTTCAACATTCTGCGAAATGGTTCTACCAACTATCACCCCTCCCCATCTTGCATTATATGGCGGACAGGTCAATATTAAGATATTTTAAAACCTAAATTGAAACAAATTTTAAGCAGGTAAGATAACGAATATCAAAAGATTCACTCACTACCACTTTGTAACAAATCTAACTCGATAATTCTAAAGTGTTCCGTCCCCAAAAAATTCTCTTACGACTAACAGAAGTAGAGTATAAAATGTTACTTCTGGACCATGGCATTTGGCGTGTTAAAAATCAGGGTTGAATCTTACAAATTTAGCTGTTTGCTCAAAAGCAAACAACCGAATAAGGCATAAAACCTCTCAAAAAGCATTAATTTTTTATCCACCCCAAAAGTACCCAAATATGAGTAGACCACCAAAAATTGGGCACACGAAAAATCCGTTAAAATCTCCCAAAATAATGCAAAATTATATCAAGAACGCCCTAAAAAACTAATAAAATACCTTGTTTTTACACACCCCAAAATGGCTTTTTACTTCTGGACCAGGGCATTTGGCGTGTTACAAAACAGGACAGAATCCTACAAATTTAGCTGTTTTCTCAAAAGTATACAACCAAAAAAGGCAAAAAACCTCTCAAAAAGCATTAATTTTTATCCACCCCAAAAGTACCCAAATATCTGTAGACCACCAAAAATTGGGCACATGAAAAAACCGTTAAAATCTCCCAAAATAATGCAAAATCATCTCAAGAGCACTCTGAAAAACTTTCCAAATCCGTTGTTTTTAGACATTCCAAATGGCTTTGTATTTCTGGACCAGACCAATTGGCGCATGCAAAAAAAAGTAACAACATTACCAAATCAAAGAGGTATATTTGGCGCCTTACAAAACAAGGTAGGATCCTAAAAATTTATGTTTTCCCAAAAGTTAACAACCGAAAAAGACATAAAATCCTTCAAAAATTATAGTTTTTAATGCGACCAAAAAATACTCAAAAGTTTCTTTTCTTGTTGTAAATCAATAGCCAATCAGAAATTGGGCACATGAGAAAACTGTTGAAAATCATCCAAAATCAAACCTAATTACGTTAAAAGTACCCAAAAAACCTTACAGAATTCCTTGTTTTGAGTCACCCCAAAATGTCTTTACTTCTAGACCAATACATTGGCGCATGCGAAAAATTCACCGGTCGGAATGGCGACTGGTAAAAATATTAGACAAATAAGAGCTCTTGTTTTTAAATACCTCAAAATAGATTTTCATTTCTGAACCAAGTATTACGCTTCCCATCTACGATTGTGCACATTGTTAATATTAGTTAATAAAAACCTGCCATCTAGCAGAGAAAAAGAGAATAAAGTCTTCCTGTCTGCGACTCACAGATCGTTAAACCTAGGTTAATTGTCTATGCTGTGACTAAACATGAGGCCCTTTAAAAATTTTTTTAATTTTTGGATACGTTTTGAAATTCAGGCGAAGCCCTCATGAGCGTACACACAGTGGACTAGTGCGTAGCATGCGGAGCGAATTTTATTTTACAACTAGAAATTTTTATTTTAGAATATATTCTATCGCTATATATGAAAAAGATTTTGCGCTTTATCAAGATTTGAACACGCAACAAATGAGCGCACATGTTTAAAGTGCGACGCTTAAACTTCTGCGCTAACACGGTTCAGTTTTATCACCACGCCTATAATGGATTTTATACAAACGGTTTCGGACTGAATGTATTACGTTTATGCTAATTTTCTTATTAATTAAAAAAATTAAATTTGTTTCGCATGCTACGCACTAGTCCACTGTGTGTGTCCGAATTTAATTATAGCGTACATAACAATTGTATCTAAATTTATTTCTTACGCTCGATCGTCCAGCGCTTAAATTCAATAACGAATAACGCATTTTGACTTTTGAGCGTTTTCATTAAACAGAAGACGGCCGATGCTCGAGCGTTGGTATGGTCTATAAACATCCCTCAAAAATACGCTATAACTCGTTTTTGTTGTATTTAACGGTAGGCAACAAATGTCATTATTGTTTCGTAGTAACCACGTAGTAACGGTGTGAACATTATAAAATTTAATGCAAAACGATAATATGGTTAGCGCCATCTCGACCAGGATCGCGCGCTGAAACATCGGCCTACTCGTTTATAAAATCGGATTTACGATAAAAAAAAACATTTTTTTCCGTTATAGAAATTGTTCTTATTCTTATTAACAATACTTAATAATTTTGAGCTGAGTTTTTACTTTACATATCTAATTGAATACTAGACATAATACCACCTCATTCACATCCTAAATATTACGATTTTACATTTGTCTAAAAAAATTATTATTACACCCAAGTAATGATGCGAACGTAAAATTTGTAGTATGATATTAACTTGTTACACATTTTTATATTTTGAAAATAATAAATTAAGAGCCAATTTATGCAACGCAAATCAAATATTTGATTGAAATTAGCTTAACATTGTGTTAATTTGATTTCGTGACATTGAGTGCAATCAAACACGCTATCAAATTTATATTTAAGTGGAATCAAATATTAATTTCAAGTTAAAGAGACATTTTTGGCCAAAACGGTTTACAGAAGCTCACTTAGACGTTAATAATAAATTATGTTAATGTTTAACACTACTTATGTTAAGTTAATGCAAGTCTCGACCTCAATTAAACTGTTTAATTCGCAGCTTTTGAAATGTAAAAAAAATAGAAAAGTTATTGGTGAATTGAAACTCCAACTCAAAACACCAGCTAACTTACCTATATTGAAAAAAGAATCTGACACAACATGTTTTGCAATTCTTTTATCGGGTAAATTGTGAACGTTTTGATCAGAAAATAATACAATTGGCCGAGAGAATATTTATTTAAATACGTAATGGTTTGGTTCTTGTATTTTATATAAAAACTAACAAAAAAACAATTCCATTTAATTAACTTTAGCCCCATTTACATCCTAAATGTGACGCTTTTACATGTTATTATGCGAACGTAAAATTTCTTATTTTATAATTTGTAACACGACTTACTTAAATTGATCAACAAAAAAGAAATTCAAATACAGTAGAGCCCCGATTATCCGGGCAGGCCGGGACCGAACTTCACTCGGATAACTGAAATGCATTTATTTTTTCTACTCATGACATTGAAATAAGTTATTATGACATTGTTTTCATCTCTAGAGATTGAAAAGCTCAGACTACCATGATTTGCATCTCAATGAGATTTAATTATTGGTAACTGACAAGAGAAATGTCACTTATGTTTGATTTTTCCTAAAGAACGTCTTGCTTGGTATCTTCTATAAGCTTAGGTCCCAATTAAACTTAGTCATACATTTTTGGAGAAAACAACAGTCGATTTGTTAAAATAAGTTATTGGACCGATGGTGGTGCAGAAGTATTAGAAGAACAAAATTAACACAAAAATATGAAAAAAACTTATAAAAAAAGAAATTTTTGTTTTTAAATTGTAGAAAAAATAGTATATCTAACTTGTGGATGAAGAATTTCAACGTCTCGAGTTACTTTTTTAAAAAAACACTCTTGACTTTGAAATTCAACTTCATCCACTAGTGTGATAATATGCTATTTTAAAAATATAATACTTTACAGCGTGCTTAAGTGTGTAACAGAATATTCTTTGAATCATGGAAACTCAAAATAATTTTAAGTATGTTTGTAACCGGATATGTAACGTTAAATAAACAATTTTGATACATTTTGTGCTATGCACGGATAATCCGCCGCCCGGTTAATCCGCGCCCGGATAATCGAGGTCCTACTGTATGTACCAACATTGAGAGAAAAAAAAAGACTATTATATACTCCTAATTAATTTTGTTAAATTAAGCCATATTATTAGCAGTGTCTAGCAGGAGTGTTTTTATCTGACGTTGTATCACCTGGGATATATTTTGTTGCAAAACATTTTGGAATTCAGCAATAAGCTCTGTTTTGAGTTGATTCATGTTGGTATTTATGTCTGTTCTTATCTGTTGCACCTCGGACTTCAATGTCCCAATGTCTGCCTTCATTGTCTCAGTGTCTGCCTTCAATGTCCCAATGTCTGCCTTCATTGTCTCAGTGTCTGCCTTCAATGTCCCAATGTCTGCCTTCATTGTCCCAATGTCTGCCTTCATTGTCTCAGTGTCTGCCTTCAATGTCCCAGTGTCTGCCTTCAATTGATTTAATAGACCATCTAATGTAGAAAACGTAGTAACTAATGATTGTTTTCTTGTTGTTTCTAAGAGATGCATCGCTGTTTCATCCCATTGTTGCTCGACATAAGATGATAGGTTCTGTAAAAATAACATACAGACACATAATGGCCCGATTTAACCAAATCTAGCTTGACATGCGGTTAGGAAACATGTGGTTAAACATAACATAGGGTACCGTTACCTTTTAGCCAAGAGACTTGGATACAATCATGTACTTAACATAAAGCTAAAAAACTCTTTTCTTTAAATAACACGCACTTTAGTTTGGAGTTAGAAGAAACATGATTTTAAAAAATTACTCATAAATAACTTGAAGTAAACTCCAATCAACCGTATGTTATATTTAAAAATGTTTTGGTACAACCAGACACAGATAATAGACTCAGACAAACAGATAGGCCCATGAACACCGGGCAGTAACAATTATTTACAATTGCATCAAAGTTTGCTATCGCATTAGTCGGTTGTCTAGTTTCGGAAAGACTCCGCCTAACCTCGACATGTTTGTTTCTTGTGGATCTCCTAGGATTCGACATTTTGTCCCTGGTCTTGTCACCTGAATCAAAATGAAGATACAATTACAAATCTTAACCAAAAATTATCGCAGATACACTAAATGATAAGTTCTGAAGATAATAAAGTATAAATAGAGTTAGCCTTGGTTTTAGCATACTATATGGAAACTTAAAAAAATTAAATCCCATTTTTTTTTGGTCGCTAAGCAACCAAATGTGTAAAATTAAAAAACTACAACTTAAGAAGGCTATTGCAATTATTTCATTTTATGACAGTTTTCATAAAGAGAATTATTCGAGTTATTGGAATTAAAGTTAAATTTACCAGTTTCGTTTATCTAGGTATGTCGTAGACTAAAGATTTAGGAAGACCAAAAAAGGAAAGAGATATTTGTGAATATAAAATATGTTTAACTGAATTCTCTCATCTTACAAATTTAGCCAAAATTACTTCCTGTAATTCTCTTGCTTCTTCCTTTGTACCATTTTGGATTTATATTCTGAACATGGGTTTTATCTTCAATTACTGAAATATTTACTTGATTGATCACTTAAAAATTTGATTTTTCTGTTTCGAATTCGTTTTCTGACATATCCAGTAGGTATATCCACTTCAATGTCAGTATGCTTTCCATAGTCAGAATCTGGGCCATAAATACGAATACGATTTTGGTTTTTTGTTGGATTTAATATATATTAATAATATATATAATAAATAAAAAAATGACCAATACTAAAGAGAACAAAATTGTAGCAGAATATTATACACCATTAAAAACAAGACAACCATCTGAACTCCAACAATTTAAAAACAGTTACAAATCTTTTACCCAAGATAAAAAAATAAATATACCAAAAAATATCAATGAAGTAACTCAAATGAGAAATCGTAATTTTGCCATTGAATATCTCAATTCGACTGTAAATAAAAAACTAACAAAGACAGAATTTTGCAAATCTAAAAATATTTCGAGAAATTCCCTCAATATGGGGTTAAATTCAGTTGGAATTAAGATTGCATGTAAAACGAGAACAAATGAGAACAAACGGGAACAATCCGGGATAAAAGAGAACAAATCAGAACAATTGGGAACAAAAGAGAGAAAAAGTAAAATAAAAAATAAAAAAATATTCGATAATGTAGAACATAAAGCAGGTAGTCGTAAAAATACAAGTTTAGATGAAGAAGCAGACGAATTAATTAGTAAATCTTTAGAAACTTTTCAGTCATAAATGGATAAACTAGTTTCATATATTCCCAACGATGAGAAAGAAAAATGGAAAAAAGATTTAAAACCTATTATTACAGAAATAGACAGATTAGAAGATGGAGCAAAAATAGTTGGTTTCAAACAAGAAGTTGTAGATAAATATATTGCAAGAAAAGCAGCTAATTTATTCCTTGAACAATTAATTATGACAGACTGTGAACTAGAATCCGCTAATAATAAAATCGATGAATTGGAATATAAATTAGACAACTACAATAATTACGATCCTAAGAAGCTAGCAGAATTAAGAAACAAAACAGTAGTAATACCATCAAACATCGATGATGTAAAGAAAAGAACTTTGAAAATATTTGAAAGACATACTCGGAAGACGAGGATATTCCCAAAAGGGAAAGGCGTCATAAGAGCGCCTTTTCAAGATGGGGGAGAATCCTTGTTCTCCTCTTTTTCCAGCTAAAGACCAAGCTATTGTTTTAAGTGCTATTAAAGATGTAAAACTTACGGAATATGTTGTAGCTATAGGTGATATAGTTACATCAAAAAATGTTATTTTCGCGTCGCGAATGTCAAACGATCGTATATGCATTTATCTGAGTCATAAATCCTATGTAGATCAAATTGTTTCAGAATATTCTACTATTAAAGTCAACGGTACTGAAGTAAATGTACGTCGTTTGCTTAATCCTGCAAAGCGTATTATTTTTTCTAATGTCTGTCCGTCTATTCCCCATAGCATTATAGAAGAGGTTGTCAAGCAATTAGGTTTTGTTTCGGTTTCCCCCATGTCATTTCTTAGAGCAAGTATACAAAACGATGAATACAAACATGTTTTAAGTTTTCGTCGACAGATTTATGTCCAACCTAACGAGTTAATAGATCTTCCGTCTTCACTTGTTATAAAGTACGACGAAACGAACTACCGAATTTTCATGAGCTATGACAACATTTGTTTCAAATGCAGATTGACTGGACATCTAGCAAACGACTGTCCGGGTGCCATTACAGCGTCTTCCCCCAATGATACCGGCATTACCAACATTATTATAGAGAGTCCTAGTAACGGTAGTCAGACAGCAACTTCACCAGAAGTGGGAACTAAGCGCCCTACACAGGACGACAGTTTAACTGAACAAAATCCCTTGGACTTATCACTTGGATCACATGCGGAAAATACTCAGCAAGAGCAACCAACGAAAAGGATTAAGCCTTCAGATTCCACCGAAAGTTTAACCCCTGTTTCTGACTTACTGCATCCAGCGAAACAGCTGCTTGAGAATGCCCAGTACCCACTCAATTTTGAGCAGACGGTTGAGTTTCTAGAAAAAGCAACTGGAGAAGTTGATCTGTTGAAACTGGCTCATAAATACACAACTGACGTGCAAGGTATAATAGATATGCTGTTTGATATATTTCCTATTGTTCAGCACAAAAGCATAAAGAATCGTTGTAAGAAAATTCAGAAAAGGTTAAAGAAAATTTGCGGTAAACTACGAAATATTGACATTTCTGACGTTCCCTTGACAGATATTGATCTTTCGCAACAAAATGCTTCAATTCAATAATAAAAATAACTGTAATTACTTTGTTAGTTCTCTTGTGTACTCGAATATTGCTTCTCTTCTCGCCAAATATGACGAATTAATTGCGTTTATCTCTTGCAACAATCCTTCATTTGTTTTGTTGGCAGAAACGTGGTTATCTCCTAGTATACCTGACAGCTTCGTCTCTGTGCCGAATTTCACTCTTTTCAGAAGTGATCGAATTAATAGATTAGGAGGGGGTGTATGTATATATGTTTCTGACCAGATTTTATCAGAATTTTCGGTAACTCCTATAAATGTTAATACTTTCGGCATTGATTCACTTTTTTTGAAAGTATCTGATAAGAATGTTACTTTTGTCCTGGGATGTGTTTATCGCCCTCCGAGACCAGTGCTGCTTGCTGATGATAATAACTTATTCAGTTCTCTGTCGCAACTTGCCTTTACTCACAATAAATTTTTTGTATTCGGAGACTTTAATATGCCAGACATAGCTTGGCCTTTAAATATGAGTCAACATTTCAGTCCATCTTCGCAGCTATTAATAGATCTGCTAGTTAATAGCAACTTGAACCAACTTGTTAATGAACCCACCCGTTATAGGCTGAACCAAAGACCGTCTACATTAGATCTGATTTTAACGTCTGATGATACTTCACTAGCAAATTTGAATTATTTAAACCCATTCGGCAAATCTGATCATGTAACTTTAAAGCTAGATCTCCAACTTTGTTTTGTAGCGAGATCTAAAACTGTTACCTTACAAAAGCGGATTGTTGACTTTAAAAAAGCTGATGAATATTTGTCTACTGTAGACTGGGCAACCCTTTTAAACCATCCATCGGTTGATACAAATTGGGAAAGTTTTAAAAATCATTTAAAACTAGCAACTGATAAGTATTCTTACACCATCACTTACAAAGCATCTTCTTCTAAACCATGGATTGACAACAAAATATTAAAATTAATAAAAAAGAAACGTTCACTTTGGCGAACCTTTAAACGATCAGGCAAGGAAGATGATTATAAGGTTCATCGTGCGTTTTCTAACCGCGTTTCGTCAATCATCAAAGATGTAAAACATAAATATGAAAAAAGTATTGCCGATCAGAAAAATCCCAAAAAGTTCTACAGCTACATTCGCAATAAATTATCAGGGCCTGTCAGAAAGCCGCAGGTGAAAGATGCAACCGGGCACATTATAGAGGACGATTGCGTTACAGCCAACATTTTTGCTGAAACTTTTGCTCAGTCGTTCACAATTGAACCAGACGCGGATATACCGAATTTGTTGACTACTCATAACTTCGATTGTCTTAGTGGTATATGCTTCTCCTACGATTTAATAAAAGATAAATTGCACAAATTAGATACTACCAAATCTCCTGGTCCTGACGGTATTAGTGCAAAAATTTTAAAAGAGTGTGGCAGTTCCCTTGCTCGCCCGCTTTGCATGTTGATGAAGCAATCATTTCGGTCAGGACGATTGCCAAACGATTGGAAAACTGCCACCATCACACCTGTGTTCAAAAAAGGGGACAAGTTTAATGCGGCGAACTATAGGCCTATAAGTTTAACTTCAGTAGTAGTGAAACTAATGGAATGTATCATCTACGATCAGTTGGTGGCGTTTTTAACAGCACACCAGGTTATACCTCGTGAGCAACATGGTTTCACACCTGGAAAGTCCATAGCGACCAATTTGCTCTGTTGTTTAGACAACTGGACTAGAGAACTCGATTCTGGTGGCTCAGTAGATATCGCGTATTTTGATTTTTCGAAGGCTTTCGATCGTGTGCCGAAACGCCGACTCCTTTTGAAATTACGACATTATGGAATCCAAGATAGTCTTCTCAGGTGGATTGAATCTTTTCTTTCTGACCGAATATTTAAGGTTAAGGTTGGTGATATGTTTAGTTCTCCTTTTCCAGTTCTGAGCGGTGTACCACAGGGCTCTGTATTAGGACCCTTGTTGTTTTTAGCGTATGTATCCGACATAAAAGACTGCTTAATTTCTCCTTGGGCAATGTATGCTGACGATTTGAAAATCTACAATATTTGTTCCAATTATGAAGTCTTAACGAAGGATATAGCAACTATTTATAACTGGTCACTAAAATGGTTACTTCCAATTAATGCGGACAAATGTAATATCCTTTATTTAGGCAGCGACAATCCAAAGCAAACTTATTATATCAACGGCACCGAGCTTACCAAGTGTGTTTCTTTGTCGGATATGGGTGTTATCGTAACGTCTACTTTG